CTTTGTTCTGCTTAGATTTTAGTTGAAACTAATGTCAAATTGGTTAGATTTGATCTATTACATGTATCATTATTTAAAATGCATCTTTTCAGTTCTTTAATTGAATGCATGGAAAATTACACATTCGATTCTTAGTTAAATCGACTTTTACATATCACCACATTACTCAAAGTTATGATGGTAGTTTTCTAGTATTTTGTGAGAGTATAAACTGTAAACTCTAATACAAAACAGCAATTACCTTACATTGTATGATTTGCATAACTATTTGTTTTTCATTGATCCCATGGGAGTCGTTCCTACATATTTTATAATGTGTAACATTCTTCTTTTATGTTTGCTAGATCTTCTGGAATGCAGATATACATGTATTTGCATATCAATTACTCACTACAAAATTCATAATTATTTACGTTGAAAATTCAATTTAAATGCAATGTAAATGTCTATTAACGGCTTAAACATACTCTTAAGGTATAATTTACACAAAAAAACCCATAAAAATACGAGTATATAAGGTATGCTATGACACAATATTCCTAAAGATGTTTTTTAAAGTTGTAATGCGCAGTTATTGTGTTTACATATATTTCATTTACATAAAATCTTGATGTTATTGGCACACACATATTTAAAATATCAAATATGTATCGTGGAAAACAGATCATTATTGATTGAATGAAAATTATTCTACGATTGATTAAATCAGAAAACGAAATATTTGCATTTATTCATGAATATGCTGTAGTCGGGTTATTTATTTTACAAAGGTCCAAATGCATTACTTAATTGTAATATGTATTGGCATGATAAAGTACTTTTTACGACCAATAATAGAATTGTTGATATTGGAAAATGGTGAGGATAGAATATTAATCCGCCTACAATATGAAAAAAAATATTGCCACACTTCTTTCTTAATTAAACGTTACAGGTACATTTCGATGGCAATATACATACGTTTTCTTGCGCCACGTGATTAATATATCGTCGTTCATGCTAAATAAATAAAATAATAAACAGAAATTATGGCAAAATGCAAATTTATTTTGACTTTCGCCCGTTCATTTACTATTTACTCTTAGATGGACATTATGTTACTTAATATTATCATAACAAACAATTTCAAAGCATGTTTATTACCAAAAACAAAAAGAAAAATAATGTTACTTCTTCTAATTACCTATCTCTAGGGAATACCAGGTATACAGTTTTGTAAATTTGTATATTAAATGGGGAAAATGGGATGATTTTGTAATTATAAGGTACCAAACAAAATTATATTTGATTTGATATATCTTGTAATGTAATTACCAAGTTTCAGATTAAGAAGTGAAAAGTAATCATAAGTTTATAAGCATATATATTTGCAGAACTATTTAACATAACGGTGTATTTGATTTTAAATTTTCTAATGCTACTTACTAGTAGATGAAATAGGAAAATATCTTTGAATGTAAATTGTCAGACACTCTCCTTTAAATTGTTCCCACGTGAGTGTTTTACATATATGGTGTTTTTATATACTTTCCCACTTATCGGCACATCTTTTACCCAGCAAAATCGATTTAAAATATTTACATATTCATTGCTTATTATGAACTGATTATTACAAAATAAAGACATATATTGTACAATACCACGTGAAGATAATCTAGAGATTTGAAATGCGATAAAATAAGGTAATGGAAAATACTCCGACATTTAAAGATTATGCATGGTATATGATAAAACATTTTTTCCACAAACAATCTTTGGTTACTTTATTTGTCTTATTTAAATAGCTAAGGTTCTCTAAATTTTCTCTCGTACAAAATGACCAATTCCCCCACAAAAACTACAACAGTCAACATTCAGCAACTGTTAGGAAATCCTTGTCTTGATAAGATTACCTGTTTTTATGTTGTTTATCAGATATACTTTGAACTAGTTTAAATATTAAAATGTACGAGCTTATATTCATTCTTTTTTTCCAGTGTTTGAATCACAAAAATACTCAATTAAAATTTGTTAAAAGAAGAAACAGTTAGTTGTCATTTAATTCTACTGAGACATTTTTATAAATTAAAATATTTTGAATTAAAATATTATGCTTATAATTAGGTTGAATTTGTCATCAATTTATCTATTATTTTGTCCAACTTTTTTGTCTATGAACAGGTTTTATCAATCTGAGCCTTCAACATTTTCAAATTTCCTGTTTTATACGCTCTTTAGGTATTGTATATTTCTCTCTAATTTCAAACTTCCTTTTCAATACTTACTACAATATTTATAGAAAAACATCTGACATCGGTATGCTGCAATGTTCAATGTTGTTTTCCCTGTGACATAAATAAACTGCTTCTCTACCAAAGAGCAAGTAAAACTACAGTCCTCAATTATTTGCTATATCTTGTAAAACGTCTTGTATTTGGAACATAACTGGCAATAGGGTATGTAAGTCTCGTCATGTGACTTGCGAGATTTCACGATATTTTGCACTTCCGGGTACAAACAAATATCAACAACATTGCTTATCTATATTGGGTAATACTTGTATGCCGGTGGGAAAGTAAAACTTACATGGAAAAGCAAATGATATGTGGAAATTGGCAGAGTTTTTTGTTTTTTAACGAAATGCAAATGGTTTCATCTTGTGAACAAGTATCAATGAAAGACAACTTCGTATAATCTTCAGGTGGGTGTGTCATTTCAAATTCTGTTTATCCCAATAAATGTTGTAATATTTTCATTTCCATGTAAATCTAATAAATTTGTTTTTTGATACAACATCATTCGCATCTGACACCAGACTGGTGAATTTGATTTTATAAATTTTCTATAGCGCTACCTGATTATCTCTCAGAAGTATAAAATATTTAGAAATTTCGGACAGCGCATATTTCGGATAAACGTTTCAATATGATTATCAGTGTGTTTTAGTTGAATATATTTTCTTCCAACTGAAAATATTATTTATTTATAATTATTATCTTTATAAAGCACAAACAGTCAAGCTGTATATAACCAATTTAAATTGTCATAAAATTCAATGAAATATTTTGCTCCTGTAGATATTTTGACTTGCGGACAGTGGGTGAGATGAAAAGACGTCAGTATCCATTGTAAATACACATGCATGCTCTGCTGTAAAATCGTTTTGGTAAGAAATATATACTTAAAGCTACTTAAACTACAAATTAATGAAAAATAAATATTATTGTAATAAAATATAATGTTCTCGTTTTTTTTGTAAATATTACAGTGTAGCTAAATAAACAAACAGTATGGCATATGTAGTTAATTCATGTTCAAATACTGTTTAAAGTATTTTTCTCTCAAGTAAGTGGGTCATATTTTTTAGTTAAATCATGTTCAGTAAATGGTTAAAAGAACTTAGTCACTATCACAATTTTTTTAAAGATCAGTTGTCGAAGCAATTCTACAAAAACTAGAACACCAAGAAGTGTTTCTTCCTTTTCAACATTATTTCATATTCATGACAATATGAAAATGATTGAAATTTATAGCCGACCAATTATTATTCCTCACAACTCATGATAAATTTTCTTTATATACAGGTATGTGATTTCATGGTTGGATCTTGAGTACTTGTCATGGCTCTTGATTTATTTTGGAGTGTTCACCATCAGATTAGAAATCAAATAGTGATATACCACCAGGCATAGTTGAAAGGAAATGTCCATACACAGTCTTGGAGTACATAGTGGTAGAGACATGGCAGTCCATTACAGATTTTGACTGAATTAAAGCTTCTTAAAGCTCCATGTCTTGTGTAAACTGTCTGACTGAATGTTTGTATTCTAATAAAAACTAAGGTTGAAGACACTTCAAAGATATTATGTCAGTGTAAAAATTGTTAAACAAAGTATCTAGCTTTGTTAGAAATAAATAACATGTCTTTATTAGAAATAAATAACCTGTCATTTGTAAACTTTGTATTAACTTAATTATTCAAGATAATTTATCTTCTGCAAATGGCTGCCCAAAAACAGTTTTCAACCAGGCATCGTGTAGTTTTTCAAAACAGTTAAGATAAATTTGTTATAAATAGACTTGTAAATTAACAGGAATGGTAAAAAGATAAATGTTCAGCATTAAAATGTTTCTATCTTGATTGAGTTTCATTTCATATTATCACCATGATCACTGCAATTTGTAAAAGTATGTAATCTTTAACCATTATTTAAATATCATAAAAAATCATCTCAAAGAAAAACTTGTTTCTGAGGCAAGATGTGTAAAATTCCTTCCAGTTATAGCCTTTCACTGCTCTTAGAAAAGCCATGATTTGCATTGTACATGGCAGGTAGTAATACCAGAGTAAACAATATTAATGCAATTCATCTGTGTTGAGTATTCTGTAGCAAAACATTAGCTTGCTAGCCCTTGTAAGCCCAAGTCTCTGTCTTAATTGGAGAAGACTTGCAATTCTGCATTCCTTGAAGATTTTTAGTATCAGAGGGGTAGTTATTACATACCATATACTTCTTTGGGTTTCAAATTACCTGTTTTATAATGTATATTGAACCTGTTGACATTTGACCAAAAGTGAATTATCTATACAATACAGGCAAAACTTAGGGTTTGCACTTGATACAAAACACTTACATCACTGATACATTTATATACCCATTGGAACTGTTTCAAAAATTGTCAATGTTTAAAAAAAAAAAAAAAAAACACCACACAATGCTTTTAACTTCTATCCATGTATATTTGTGTAAATGTAGTCATTGAAGAGCTGTCAAGAACTTTTTCATCAATATTATTTAGATAGTGTCTGTTTCGATTTCAGGACAGACAAAATTCAAATGACATGCATAGTATTTAATATAGTCAATGCTTGCATATTCAAAGCAATCTAGCCATTGCTGTTAGAGAATTAAAGTACACAGTGACACTTATTTTACAGATGAACTCTTATGATCAAGCACTTGCTATAAATATATGCCAAATAGTAGAAACAAAAAACAGTTCATAAGTTTAATAAACTTTTATTTTTACACAATTTATAGTGCACTGCTTAGCATATATATCACACTGATTTTCCAGTGGAAGAAAAACTTCAGGAAAGCACTTGGAATTATTTAAGTTATTTGGACGATGTAACTTTACACTGTGAATGTCTACTGATACAAGAATAAGAATATTTCCTTTTACAAATGTAAAGACTTTGAAAATTAACATGAACAAATTATCATAGAGTTCTAAATCATATTCTAATTGAAAAATGTTCAGCTTGATATCAAAGCTTTGATTGCAAATTTGTGAGCTTATCAATGATTACCTCACAATATTAGTAGTAGATGATATATAATATTTTTGCTAATCTTTACTTCATAGTCATTTAATGTCCATAATGTCATATGACTATACTGTGATTCCATGAAAAAACCTTATCTCTGGTGTGTAATCAGCTTTGGTACATATAGAGTATCTAGTTTTAATACTTAAAACTGCAATGAAATGTGGATATTTTACTCTGTTTCTATCATTGTGACATTAACATGTTAACAAGATCATAGAGTCAAACACCATAAAATCATACTCTTTATACATTTATGTCATTCATTTTCTTCAGGAAAGTACATTTTGACTATTCTCAGTGGCTTATATTAAACTAATATTTCACTGTAACTATGTGTTCTCTGATATCATTCTCAAATTAAGGAACTGGAAGATGGTAGTTGCAATAAAGGTCTTCATGGACAAATCCTCCTTCATCTTTTCCCTTTTTATCTGCAGAATGAAAAATCAATAAATATGTTGTTACAAGTGTAAGACACTAGAAATGATATTTACATTACATTTAATAAGCTGGTCATGATTGACAGAAAAAATTCATATTTGAAGTAAATAAACATTAAAGATAAACAACAACAAATAATATATAACAGTCAAAAATATTGATCTTCTTGAATGTGAAACATGACTATTCTTAATGTTTTATTTAGGCCTACTTTATATCAATAATCATGCAGTGAAATCCAAAAGTTATTAAATTATAATAATATATTTTGATAATTGTTTATCTTTCTGATCTCAACTAAAAATTAATCAATTATTTTACATGTATTTACCTTTGATGTATAGATATTTCAGGATCATAGGCAGTGCAAACAGTTGATTAATGGTCCATATTGAACAACTTTATATTCTATACTTGTCATATACCTCCTTGTCTATACATCTGAAATGGTTTAATCAAAATATTATATTTTTTAATTCAATCATAATTTGCTAGGTACCATATTAACATGTATATATATAATTGAAAAAGGAACAATAATAAAAATGGAAGGGAAAAAAATATCCGAATTACTGTGCAATGTCCGAATTTTGTATAACTTTAATATACACTAGAATTAAAGTGTTTAATCCATTGTTTTATTTCAATAAGTTAAAATGGTTTGAATTAATTTCTCACATTCTGTAGTTTTAAAACAATACTAAAAGCTAAACAACTAGAATTCACTACCTTGACAAAACATCCGAAACAATTGTCACTATCCGAAAATAAACTAGTTTTATTAAACTTCTATAAATCCCCCTCGTTTTTTCCGTCAGATAATTGACCTACCTGCATTTTTTTGACCCGTGCTATCCATTCCTTCAAATCTGAAGAGGACCGAAACAAATTTAACTTCTATATCCCTCGAGTTCTTCGGGTAAACTATATGCGTAACGGTAAATAAGTCTGCCGATGTACCCGGAAGTGGTAAATCGAAAGTGAAAGTAAACGAGACTTACGGGCCCTATTGCATTATTGAATATTATGCCGTTTACCTAATTTCCACATACCTTTTTAATCATTTGTATTGGCCACCATGGTTTATCAGCTTAGACATTTATTTTTAAAATGTACTTTAGTTAAAAAATGTCTCCGATCTAACTCAGGCATGTCTTGTTAGACTTGTTTTTTATACAATTTAACAAACCGTTAAGTGCTTGTTCAGGGAAAAGGTTTTATATATTAACTTATGTTGATTTTTGCATTTGCATATATTATAGCTTCTAATGACATAACTTGAATTTAAGAATAATTGTAGCTATAAGGTTTTCATTAAACAGTATTTAAGAGATATCATAAGTAATGGAAAAAAAAACAAAACACTAATTGAGTCAATCTTTAATTGTCAACATATTTATATTCTACATAGTCATCATGTTTATAAAACAGTTCATGACATATAGCACAGCAATTTTTCTTTGAGAAATTTTCTCCAGAGTATAAAATCAAGTTGAACAAACTAGCCAAACAAATACATAACGGAAGGTTAACTCAGAAAACATTTTTTCACTCAATAATTCAAGTTTTGACACTGACAGAGTCCTCTTAAAACGATTTAATCATTGCAATTCCGACACAAATGTCAACGTTAATAGGAATTCTGTCTCACAGAGCGTTATTGAAATGACACCGCATGCAATTTAACCTTTTCTTCTAAATCAGTCATGGTGCTTTACATCAAATAAAATGAAAACACATAACTAACCTCGTGCATCTTTAACAAGTGGTTTTATCTTAGAAAGCATGATCTTTTATAAATCATTGCATTTGACTTCAAATGTGAACGCTTCTTGATATAAATCATTAGAGTGAAGTATTTAATGGAATATATTATTCATGTTATGCAAGAAACATAATTTTTGCTGACTGATCTGCATAATGGATAAAAATCATACTACGTGTATTAGCTGGGGCGCTGCGAATCTTTTCCATAATAATTATTTTATCAAGTTAAGTATTAGTGTGGTAAAATTTCTAAACCTTTCCAACGTATGGTTACTATTATCTTACAAGTTGAGATCGACCAGTTAAGTAATCATAAGCTAACCTTTTAATATTGGCATTTTTATTATCTATTTGCACATCAGGAGCCAGATGAATGGAAAATTAATTCAGGTTATTTGCATTCTGCGGCAGCTAATTTCCCCGCAAAGATAACTATTTTGTATATAGAAATAGATGACAGATATGGAAAATTGAGATGAATTTGAGACGATACCGGACATTTCTGAAATCTTGACATGTTTTTGTTATATATCATGCATCCTTTAATCTTGGAAACATCATGCAAACATAATACGGTCGATACATGTTATACGGGTATCGACTTGGAATGAGTTTGTGATATAATGTGTATTATAAACTTACTTCGGTAGTATTTAAATGGATCTATTGTATCTACTGTCTCATGATCAAAGTAGATGACCACATACTCTCCTGTATCGAGCAGTCCTCTATCATACATGTTCGTCATCATATCAACTATTCCGTTGTACGTGCCCAGAAACACATAAACTGAAAAGATAATATAATAAGTTATCTTATTTGTCCATGGACTTTTGTTTATATAAATTTTTCGTGATGTTAAAGTCGCTAAAATTTCAAGATTTAAAAATTGGAAAAGTAAGTGAATAAATTGGGGTAAACCAAAGCATTGGGTGGTTTAAAGGGATATAAGTTTGAATAAATAAAGCAAAAGGGGGAATAATTGTATTAAAGCGCTCCTGCAATTCAAAGTTGTTGTTTGCAAGGAAAACAAACACTATTTATTATACACCTTTGCCTTTTCAGCAATAAATCTCACAGATCTTACATTCAAAAACTTTATTAATTTATCTTTCAGACAGACAAGATATTTACTCTGTTCACGTACAAAGAAAATCCATTGAAATAGACGTTTTCTATCATTAAATACAAACAGAGACTTATTACAAAATTGAATAAATTGACCATAAATAATGCTGTTTTTTTGTGATTGTGATCAAGCTTAAAGATAAAAGAAAAAGCCTGGGTGTATCTGTTTAAATCGTCTTGTGTTTTTATCATGTTGATTTAATAGATACATGATAAAAAAAAACAAATGACTGATACAAAAACCCAAAATTGTATTTTTCTTTTAATTTTTCTTTTTTCCAAAATTCCCAAGGAAGGGGACAGTTTTTTCTTTTTTTTCTAAATTAAAATTACAAATGTTTTACAATGCTATAAAATAATGTTTTTCCTTTTATTAAATTTTCTCAAAAAGGGGGATAAAAACTGATGTAAAGGTTTTTATAACACCTTATGTCAGGGCGTGAAACCACTTGTTTTAACGGTTTCTGTAAAAATTAAATATGACTTGATATATATTAGAGATCCATTCATGATAGGCAATATGTTTAACGGTAAATGTTCATTGTCTTTCTTGATGTCTCAAAATCAAGTATTTGACCATTCTAAGCTATTTCAGTGCATACACACAGTTTTGTTTACGCTTTTTAAAAATGTTAAATGTAGGAGATATAGTCAGGCGCATTTGCATTAGATTTTTATTCAAACAGTCAAGCTGGTATAGTAGCCTTAGTTTGACGAGGCTGTCACTGAGGGAAAAACATATGCAGCCTAGCCGGGACTCGAAACCGAAACCCTTAGAAACCGTTTCGTGGCTCTACCGACTGAGCTATCCAATCACTTACACGTCGTCTCCCCTAAATAGTGAACAGTTCTAAACCGTTACATACTTTTTATTGAAATTCGTCCTAGAATTTCTCAGGGTTTCTTAGCAATGTGAATTTAACTCTGAACAATATACAATCACGGTGGCCCGTTGGGCGCCAATATATCATTAGGTGAGCAAAATATGCAGCCTTTACGGGACTCGAACCCGGAGTCATTGGAGTAACTTTTAGTGACTCCACCGACCGAGGTATCTACACATCTTCTCCCTTAAATAGTGAATAGTTTTGAAGTTTGACACGACAAAAACAATAAGAAACAGAAACAAACATACAACTAAAAAAATTGAATATTTAATGAGCCCAGTTCAAAAGACAACATAAAATTTTAATATACCGGTAAACAGTGAAACTAGAAAATATCTAATTTGTGTAAATATACTTTTCATTTAACAATTTGAATTCAAAGTACTCCAAAATACAAACTGCAATGATAGCCGATTTTATAGAAATACTGCTTTTACGAAGTAGTGATCACATTTGTGAAGAAATCGATAAAGTTGTGCTTTGTATCATCTGATGAATTCTATGAACATTTCAAAACTTAATATTCAAATGAACAAGTTTTTAGGAATAATATGTACAGTAAAAATAAGACAAACTGATTTTAACAATGTGGAATAACGTAATGTTAAATTTACAAAAGTTATATTGGTTGCAAACAAGGGAACTACGTATTTTATTTATTTCATAGATTTAATGTATATTGGTTTGTTTAATTACTATATTTAGTCTCTTAAACGTTTTTGAGACTAGATTTATCTTTTCATTGTTGGTGATATCAACAGTCTATATTCAATAACGTAAGTTTCACATTGAAAACATTACAAACTCGATTATTCTTATTAACTTAAACGCTGAATTCTGTTAAGATGTTTCTAGAGGACATGTATCATGCACTCGTATTTTACACTTTACAAGGACATGCTTGATATGACCAATCCTACAATGTTTTCAATATGACATTGTTAATTGAAGGTTTTTGTTTCCAATTTTAATGGTATTCGAAAGACTAACTGACATAAAAATCAGGTTGAGAAAAGGTAAGAACGGTGTATTACGATATCATGCTTTTTGTATTCGTCAATAAATATTTTGTCAGTGATTGACTTATCATTTTAGTAAAGCAAGCGATAAGCTTCTTCAATGATTATAGACGAAATTACTCGTTTAGTATTTATAGAGTGCTTAATGTTATAGACACGGCATGGATAGCATTTGTAAAGTAGTTCCCTGCTAATAAAACCTGTTAAGAGTAAATCAATTTTTGTTGGTTTTATATAACCATTGTACAATCCAACTTTTATTAATATTTTCATGATAGCCAAAACGAGTAAATGCCTTTTAACACTGCCAGCTTCAAATTTATGATATGTCACATAAATTCAAATACTTCATTACAGTAATTGGCATTTACTCTCAAACAAAAGGATCATGGTGACATGTTTCATCCTAATCTGTGCAGCCAAATTTTGTAAACATTAGAAATAAATGCTGACAAATGACAACAGAAGCAATGTGAAGTGGATGATTATTGAACTGTCATTTACAGATCTTTACATTTCAGGAAATGCACTTTTTCTCTGTGAAATCCTAATGAATTGAAAATGAACAAATATGAATACAAACAAAATAAGAAATTATATATGAAATTAATGTTTTATTTGTAGCAACTTACTGAATTTGTTCGACGCATATATAACATAATAATGAAAAATCCCAGCATTTAAATCAATATATAAATTAAGTCGTTATATAGACAAGACAGAAATAAAAGATCCGATAAATGAAATAAGACAATCTAACAAATACATATATTACATTACATTAAATTGTACACACATATATATCTTCATTAGAACTGTCGGAAAATCCGTTATTTGTTATTGTGTTAAAGTGAAAAAGAGAGACATATATGAGCACATTTCTTCACATTTGGTTTAGAGAAACCGATTTAGACTTTCCTTACCGAAAGAATATAAATTTGTCGCTTCTGAACTACTTAGTTACAAAGACAAAAAATCAAGTACGTGCATTATGGCAAAGTTAACGGCTTAAAACCTTTGGAGCTTGGATCTATTGGTTTAGCTTATCCTTTATGTATGTAAAAAACATGAGAGAAAATAGTAATATGAGAAAATTCAGATATAGGTGAAATGATGACAAAAGCTTAATCATTTTTATTATTGCTCTCCCATTGATGTTTTATTTTAATTTAAAAACAATCAATAATGTGATTATTATTCTCCTGATCTTCTTCATTACTATTACGTAATGATGTAATTCCGCAAAATATAAATAAAAAAACATATTGATATCTTATAAGAGTTTTCAAATGAATAATTTTAGGCAAACACTTTAAAATCGTAAATGTGATAAAGATTGCCAAACTGAAATTTTGTATGATTAGATCAGCCAAAACTTATAATTTGTAAAAACATTTGGTAAGTGTTCATTGTCATTTATTTATATTGTCTGAAGGCTTGTAACAGGCTCTTATACAATCTTTATTCATCAACTACAGTGAGGCGACCAAATGCTTTTGATTTACTGTAAGCTATGCATCTCTTGGCTGTAGCTGGTGAGATAGTTTTGACCCCTGGTGTTGGTATAATCTTTAACACACGAAGTCGACCAAAATCATCTTTCCTGTCTCGGCGCCATATGACCTTAATGGTTTTTGTGCCCCGTAAAAACAAAAACCAAATTACAAACAAATAGTTTAGAATATTTTAAAATTTTGCATTACTATTGTTTCACATTAAATAGAATCAGGGCAATTGCGATTTAGCTCAATTATGTCTATGATTACCAGGGAGCACTGGGTTTGCAAAGTGTTTCATTCGCGTTTCTGTTAACGTTTTCCAGTTTACCTAATTAACTGATTGCGAGAGAAATCGATAACATGAGAACAACTACTACTCCTCCAATTATAAGTCGAATAATCTAGAACGTCTTTAATAGAACTTTTTTATCATGTAAATAGTGCAATTGTCATATTATTATTCCACTCTATTTTTTTCTTAATAATAAAAATCTAAGTTACCAAATACATTTTTCCAGCTTATCAACGTTATCAATTAACTTTACTTAAGTAAGAAAGTCAAAGTTAAGTTTGATTTTCTCATCATCTTTATAACAAAACATTAAGCTCATTATTTTGAATCTACACGTCCATATTTTCTGTTAATGAATATACTATATATACTTTAAGTTTAATAATTTTCTTTAGAGATTTACAAGTAGATGCTAATTTTAGGATGTTAAAGGGCGGTATAACTTCATCAAATTGAAGCCTTGCTGACACGACCTACTGAGCATGCTATAAACCTGTATATACCGGTATATTCAAAGTTGTATCAGTACTAGTTTCACAGTAAAAACAAATAAACAAATAGAGCAAGACAGGAGGAATTTTAACGGAATTAAAAAAAAATACCTATACAGGTACCTCACAACCTTGTTTGAAAGCGCTAAATTATAAACCTTATGAAGCATGTTTGCCTGCTCACAACAGAGAATGTAATGCTACAGGAAGACCATATCGACAAAGTAACACACAAGTAAAGTAATAGGTTTGTGAAATTCATATTGTGAAATAAACTATCGTCAAAGATTTATTATTATTAAGTTCAGTCCAGACATGCATGAAAGCACAGGGTATGCTTAAATTTGTCTGAAACAGTGGATTTTCATTTAATTTAATTTTTTTTAATTAATCATATAACTGTAATTTACAGTTCAATATTTTTATATGACCTGTCTCGCATGTTGAAGTTCAACACGGAAATACAATTGAAT